TCTCTCTCTCTCTCTCTCTCTCTCTCTCTCTATCTTTTTTTGTTTCCCAGGCAAAATCCGTCCCCTTAAATTGATTAATCCGCAAGCCACTACGATATGCAACCCCCTTACGCGCGCATGTTTTCGCAGAAAAGCGAGCAGAAAACAGCGCATTTTAGATTACTTATTGTGGTCGTATTGTGCCGGAAAAGGGGGGGGCGGAAGAAGCTTGCTACTAATTAAATGGGGGATTGTCTGTTACGTAGGAATTCCTATAAATTAGGTGGCAATCCCGGTTAGGCTTCGGTCTAGGCTTAGATCATTTTCCACTCGATTTCCGAATCAATTTTTCCTCCCAAAAACCGTCTGTTAGGGTGACTTTTTGAGCACGAGGGTCCATCGCCGCGTGTCTGTGTGTGTCCTCAGCCCTCGGACCGCCAAGATCTTCCGTCCAGATTACGGCACCTCCCGAGGTTACGCTCAAAAATGGACCGACAGTCGGCCAGGGCGGCGAAGAGGGCTAGGCTGTCACAATGACTGTACGGACAAACTGTTTTTTGCTTTGTTTTTGGGATAGCTATGGAGTTCTGGCTCCCACTCACGCTCTCTCTCCCTCTCTCTCTCTCTCTCTCTCTCTCTCTCTCTCTCTCTCTCTCCCTTTCTCTTTCTCTCTCTCTCTCGCTAACACTACCAAATACATCAGAATCCCGATTTAGCCGCTGATAATTTTCACATTTTTGGCGCTGGCAAATTAGCAATTTCCTGGAATAACAAGCCTTTTTGGCGCCACCCACATATCACGTGAGAGACGGATATAAAATTTGAGCCCGGGCTTGGGCCTACAGTTAGGCTTAGGATTCGGAATGCCTAAAAGGCTTATGCCTAGAATGCCATTTCATTTTCCTCTTCCATGCTGTCACTACCCCTTTAAAGTTCTCCGCACCCTTGCAATCCTCACTAGATTCGAAATCAACTCCCTCCCTCGTTCCCATGAAATCATTTGGGTATAGCGTGACCTTTCTCCCCCCGCGCGTATCGCTATGGTACGCCTCCCCCCTCGGGTGAAAAATCGGGGGCGCCACGGGGCACCGCGACACTCCAAATGGCAAAAACGAGGAGCAGGAGTGAGAGAGAGCAACAGAGAGGCAAGGAGGAGCATGGGAATGAGCCGTTCTCTTTAAGAGGCAGAAAAGAGGGAGGAGGAAGACTATTGGCCGGTGCAGGAAAAGAAGCAGGAGAACCTCCTGCCCCATTCACTTGCGGGTCACTCAGTCAGTCCGAGACGAGGCTATCGACACGGAGCCGATTTCTCATCCACCCCCCCCCTCAGGGGGTCCGTTATTGCTTTTTCTATGCTGATGGCCTGGATTCTGGGGTTCGGGAGAGGGGAGCTTCATTTTTTTGCATTTTGCGCTTCACCAGGTTATTGGCATTGGAGAAACCGTCGTCTTCTTGGAACTTTTGAACTTCTTGGGCACCTTAAAGCTTTCAAACTTTCAAGCCACAGACATTTTTTAAAGGACAACTATCCCGAATTTCTAGCTTCCCGGCGTCTTGAAAGCCCAAAATCATACCCAAATTCCCAGAATCGGCTCATCAAAGACTCCAAGAAATTGGGGATGGACCGGTTCAATCCCACCCCCAATCCCTACTGCACGGTTGCCAGCCGATTAATGCCCCCCGCGCTCTGAAGATCCCTTTTGGGCAATGGCAGAAAATGGATATTGCGCTCTCTCTCTCTCTCTCTCTCTCTCTCTCTCTCTCTCTCGCTCTCTGTCTCCCTCGCTCTCTCTCTCACTCTCTCTCTCTCTTTCCCTCTCTTGCCTAGGCTTCATTTTAGTTTGCTTCCCAAGGAGCTCAACTGCATTGGCTCAGGCTTACCCTCACTTATTAGTTAGGCTTTCTGAGTCCCTTAAAAACGACCAGGAGTATGACTTTCAACTCTCGCTCCTCGTTCTCGCATTCTCTCTTTTGCTCTCGCCCTTACTCTCTCGTCTTTTGCCTTCACAGCCCCTTTAAATTGCTAAGACTAACCGACAACTACGGTACTTCCAATGCCATTCCTTTTCCCTCCAAAGCACACCTCCGAAATTATTTACGCCCCAAAATGAGATTTCCCCAGGGAATTGACCCGCTTTTTCCGGGGTCCTCTAAATTTTTAACTAGCTCCCGGAACCGGGTCGACGTTGAGCACGAGGTTGCTGATACTTGGAAAATGCTGGGCAGCACTTTGCAAATTTAAAGAGGTTCTGAAGCTAGAAATCTATCTGGAATTTCCAGCTCCTTTAGACGACGTGGAAGGGATTATTTTCAATTTGACGCTCGAAACGTTGATCCCTGTCTACCTGGGCGGTCACCCCCTTTTTCCTATATCTTGATCTCAACCCATTTCCGGGGCTAATCCGATCTTTTTCGGGCTTTAGCCCAGTCACCACCAACGTGCTAGACAGTTGATGAGCGGATAATCCTCTTCTTGAAAATGCCATTTTTCGCCATTTCACACGACGCGGCAATGTTGGACTGTAGACAGAGAGAAAAAGAGAGAGCGAGAGAGAGAGAGAAAGAGAGATAGAGAGAGCGGTCCGGATAAAGGAGCCAAACGGAAAGCGCGCGGCGCCTTTTGTTTAGGAAGGGAGAGACGGATGGATGTCTGGTCGTTTCCCTGTATTTTCATAGATTCATGTCTTTTGACGAGCATCTATCTGCTCATTATTATATTTTCAACTATTTAAAGGAATGTTAAATGTCGTAAAAGGGCTTAAAAGTATTAAAAAATTGAGAAATTCTTTGCTATCCTGCAATACCAGAGTGATCATTTTTTCGTTTTTTCGTGAGCTTCCATTTTTGTAACTTTTTGAGGATTCACGGAGTTTGAAACTGAATTCAAATTTGTAAAATCAACACTTTGTAATTTATTAGGACCGAAGCTATTCAATGTGTTTTTTTTTGGAAACAGTGACGTATCTAACCTATTTTTACTCCATTTTTCTTGATATTTATTGTATACATTATCTATCATTGTGTGATGTATCCATGGATCTGCCCCTCTGCATTACCGTATGCAAATCACCACTCTTCCCCAGTCAGCTCGGCAATATTTCATCATCATCCCTGCCAAAAATTCACATCCAGAATCTCCCCGGCCAAAAAAATGGGATGGATGAGTCTGGGTCCGATTCTTACGTTATAAGCAAATCTACTTCAAGCGAGGAACATTTTTCGCAATTTTTTAGCCCGAAAGTCCTCATGCAAATGTGGATTGGCCTTGAAAAAGTGAGGGAGGGCTCTCAAAAAAAGGGGTCCTCGATATGTTCGTCGCATTTTCTCTCTCTCTCTCTCTCTCTCTCTCTCTCTCTCTCTCTCTCTCTCTCTCTCTCTCTCTCTCTCTCTCCCTCTCTCTCGGTGTCTCTGTATCTCGCTCTCTCCCTCTCGCCGTCTCTCTCACGAGCGAAGTTGCTCTCTTTCTCTCGTTTTCTCTGTTTCGCCTGTTTTCTGGATGTTCTAAATAGTTTTCTAGGGCATTTTAGTCAGCACTCACTCTCTCTCTCCCTTTCGCTCTCTGACTTCGATCTTTGTCTCGTTCATCCTTTTTTTTGACAGGCCATCTGATGTTTTCGTGCATTTTTTTATTTTCGTATCTCTAACGTTCCCTCGCTCTCTATCTGTCTCTCTATCGCTCTCGCTCTCTGTCTCTCTCCATGCCAAGTGGACACACCGAACATTTTCAGCCTGCTTGAACTTCGCCTCCTCTTCTTTCTGAGGCCAGCCCCAAAAAGCGACGAAAAGGAGGTCGCGACACACAGCTGGCAGTCGATCCGTTGTGACCGTCTATCAGCGCAACACTAAATTTCACTACCTAAATTCCCCTCAAAAAAAACTCCGCCAAAACGGCGTCGGTTCCTCACCGCCATTCGGCCGATGACCACCAGACGATGATACGCCGGAAAAAGCTGCGCCAGGTCTTCTCGGTTGAGGTGGTTCTCCAAGATTATGCAAATTTTCTTGCGTTTTCCTCAAGAATTCCTGCCTTCTAGCTTTCCACCGAATACCGGCTTTTTCGGGATCGATTAGCCTGGATTTTTCTAAAGCATCTCTGCTAGCTTGCCTAGGTTTTAGCTTTACGGTTTCTATACGACACTTTTTAAGCCCGTTTGCGGAGTTTTTCCCTACAGAATCTTTGCTTGTTTGCCCGGTTCCTAGCTTCCTTCCGGGGCTTAATAACAATTCTTCTGGGCCTCCTAGCAAACTTATTCTTAAAGGATCCCTGCTAGCTTGCTTACTTCCAAGGAATACTTTCTCTCAGTTAGCCGTCTTGGCAACGTTTTTCCTCAAGAAGCAATCCTAGTCAGCGATTCTCTGCCTTCAATGGACCTTTAAAAATCTGATCATTATTTCTGGGGTAAGCTTTCCATCTGGTACATCTTCCCCAGGAATCTCTGCAAGTTGCCCTTTTTCACCAACCCAATCACTAGCTTTCCACATAATTTTTTACTTCTTCCGTCCCTTAAAACTCGCAATAACAATTTGACCAAATTATCCGGCTATTTTGAGGATGTGCCGCCCCCGGGGGAGCTTCAGATATAGCCGCACCGCAAATTGGGACCGAGCGCGTGCTCCACACCAATTCAAAAGGCCGGCCCCCGCTCAAATTAGTATATTTGAGGTTAGAGGAGAGCGAGGGAGGGAGAGAGATACATCGAAAGCGAGAGAATGAGAGAAAGTGAGCAAGAACGCGCCTTTTAATAAGCGCTCTCCCCTCGGTCTCACCCATAAATGTTATCAAAAAAAAATTTCGCTGCTCACCACCGCCCAATCGCGACACCAAACACTCCCGGAATCTCCCCCCTTTTTTGGGCGGCTTTATTCGCGGCGACCCTATCGATAAGGAGACACAGCTGGCTTGACTTTCCCCCTCTCCTTCGACTACGCTCTGCTCCTAATTCCGGGGCGCTGCCATATTACTGGGGTAATCTGGGTTCCGGAAGTGGGCCTTGTCTCCCGGAATTTCTGCGAATTCTGCGATGAATCTTGGGTTGTTCGATAATCCGGAGGATACGAGCTGGCTGTTCGGGCTGCTGAGCCGTAGTCAAAGCTTTGTGGTTAGCAAATTTATGGTTTTCTTGGGTTTTAAGGGATAGGCTTAGGCTTAGGCTATCATATACGACATCACAGACTAGAACACCGATTTCCCCAGATAATCTCTGCAAATCCACATAGCTGACCATCCCGCCATACGACCCGCAATCCCACAAAAAGCCCCCAGGCTATTTTTAAGCTGCCCCAAATCCCGACGGGTAAACAGCGCAAAATTAAGTTTCAATGCTGCGTCGTGGTGGGAGCCCCAGGGGGGCGGAAGGCTACATTCCGCATGGGGATGGGGCTGAAATGGCGGCGCTTCTCGGTCACCCCCGCTGCAAGGGGCTTTTTGCAGGAAACGGTAATTTTGGGGGAAATTTCAGGTTGTCAAAGGTGTAAATATTTAAATGTTTTGTCTTTTTAGCAGTCGTCCGACAGCTACCCGAGCCCCAGGGCTGGCTCCCTGCAGCGCCGACATTCCGCATATCAGCCGGATGCCGATGAGAATGGTGGGTTGAAGCCGAGGATTAAACTTATGAGTTGTAAGTTGAGACTTGAGCCTAGAAAAGCGTAAGATTAAGTCTACCCCTATTCCTAAGCCAAAGACCATGCCTAACCTAAGCCTAAGCCTAAGCCTAGCCGACGCTAAAGCCGAAGCCCAAGCCTAAACCTAACTTAAACTAAGCATAAGCATAAGCCCAAGCCTAAACTTAAGCCTAAGCCGAAGCATAAGCTTAAGCCTAAGCCTAAGCCTAACCTAAGCCTACACCCATTAAGCTCAATTTTTAGTGGAGCCCCTCCTGGAATGCGATCGGGTGCTAGCCGAACGTTACGACGGCGTCGACATTGCTTTTGAGAAAACGAAAAGCTGGGGAAGGTACGTTATCAATTATATATTTTTGTAATTTTTTAACTACCGTTAGATCTAATTTTTATTAAATTTATTTAGATACTGCAAAGAACTAACAAACTATGTGAAATCGCGGTTGGCCATCGAGCTCGAGCACGCCAAGCGCACCTCACAGCTGGCCGAGCAGACCCGGATGGGCATGCAAGAGGTAATGAAATTTAATTATTTTGTGACTTCTGAAAGTCATTATTATACTTCAAAACCTAAAATTAAAACCTAAAATTATAAACCTAAACCTTCCCATTTTTTTAATACAATTTTTATGACTTTAGGAATTTCTGCCTATGAAAGAGCTCTTCACCGACTCGTTCGACCTCGAAAATGAGCATTTTCTCAAAACCCGGGAGACCCAGGAGCACTTGGGAGACCGATTTGTTAAGGTAAGCTTCTAATTATTATATTGATCGGCATTTAAAACGATTAGTTTCTAAGAATAATTTTAATTGGTTAAAAAAATTTTTTTAGTCCCTCGAATCGCGGCGCCTTGAAGCGGAAACGACACGAAGAGCCCTGAAAAATGAGTGGCTAAAAACGGTGAAAGCAATGGTGCGTACTTTCCGTTTTTTGTTTAGCTTTTCCAGTTTATCTTATTTTCTTATGAAAGATTTAATCATTTTTGCTCGAACTTTGAAGCAAATTATCGCTTTAGACCGATGCCGAAAATGAGCTCCGCAAAGCCCAGCAAAACTTCACGGCCCGCGAGGATTTATTTAAAAAGGTAACCCGAGGAAAATTGTATTTTTTTTTGGGTGTTCTTTGCTGTTTTCCGATTCTCAATCGCAACTCGGCCCTTTGGCTGCCCTCAGCCGGGGCGTGGCCTTCGATCATAGCCCTCTCCCGGGGCCGCTCCCCCGTGGTCTTGTGGTGTAGTGGTTATCACGTCTGCTTCACACGCAGAAGGTCGCCGGTTCGATCCCGGCCAAGACCTATCGTTTTGCTTTTTGGGGGTGCTGTCCGGGATTAGTAACCAGGCGTACTAAGGCACAGTTTTGTCATTTTAGGCCCGAGAGAACTCAATTCGAGTGTCGGGCGACTATCCGCCGGGATCGTCTACCACGGATTCGATGCGGAAACTGGACAAGAAGCGCATCCGGGAGGAAGACGCGCTTTTCAAGGTATTTCGATTCGATTGTTTTTAATTATGCCCTACCGTACCCATCCCAGCGTTTCACGCGCAATTTGACGAACGGCAACCTTTTCCAGCAGTCGGTAATGGGCTTAAAATTGCGTTTGGGGGCGGCCGGGCTGCCCCCTCCGCTCTTCATCGTTTTCGCTCATTTCTTTCCATTTGGCTACACCAATTTTACGCCCATTTCTTCCGCAGCTTCGGCGCCCAACCTTTTGTGGGGGCGAGGGTTAAAATTGGAGGCATCGCGGGGTGGTGGTTTTTGGGGGAATTAGAGGGGTGAAAATTGGGAGCGGATCTTTGTGTTTTTTGCAATCTGATAGACTTATATTTAGCCAGAGAGCAAAACATTTTTAGCCAGCAACTATTGCTTGATGCTAATTTGCATCCAATCCTTCTAAAGGGACTAGGACACGTCGGCACACGGCTAGCTCAATAAGCTATTAAAACTTTAAAAACTTAAAGAACGTAAAATTACAAACTTTTGGAAAGCATCAGAACATCTCCAGGAAGCCAAAAAAATCGTTTAGAAATTGAAATTTGTATTTAAGCGGTAATTTAAGGGCCTCAAAAAGACCCAGAATCGACCTATAGCTGCGACTAGGTCTAGACGATTACGATCGGTTTGGCATTACAGCGCTTAGATTTGAGGGAAACGGCTTCTAAGAGCCCTCAGCAGTTGTCGAGACCTAGTCAAGGCCATGCGACGATTCTCCAACTTTTCGGTTCTATAAATAAAATTTTAAAATAAACTTAAATTTAATCTAATTGAATTACTTTAATAAGCTTAAATCTTGAATCTTAATTTTAAAACATCCCAGCGGAGTATTCGTCTCTCCCCTTCCAAATTGGTTCATTTTCCCCTGCTGGGCCCCCTTCTGGTGGCCCTCTACTGGCCGTCTAGAGGAGCGTTTCGTTGTCCTCTCCTTCCACACACACACACATCCTCCTCATTAATCCCATTTCCAGAGAAGCCTCTTATCGCCATTTCGGTCTTTCGCGCATCTTGGCGTCTTAACGGGTCTGGGAAGTGCAAAACTTGCAAACTCCATATAGCTTTAAGTTTTCTGCCAAAATTGCTTGCCAGTCCCTTTAAGTGGGCGATAAAACGAAAACAGTATTCTATCGGAAACCTGTCTGATAAAGATTGCATTTTATCGCCCGATTTTCTACTGCCGCATCCCTTTAAAGAGTTTCTCCTTCTCGGCAGCGTCTATCAATTCTGATTTCAAGCCAAATTTAAGCAAAGCCTAACATTTTTTTACAGCGTGAGGAAGCCCTGCACCAAGTGAAGGCCCTCGAGACGGAGGTGAGGAGGAGGCGCAAGTCTGTGGATAGGTGCAAGGAGAAGACGATCGAAGCACTGCGCGAGTTGGTGCTACAGTGCGATCAGACGACGAAGGCCTGTACGCAGCATTACTTCAAGGTGAGCCATTGCACCGGCTTAGACTTAGGCTTAGGCTTCGGCTGAGCCTAATACATCCTAGTCGATCTCCCCTCAATAAACCCGCTTTTCATCGCACTAACAACCCACCCGAACCCTAATAGAATCATACTAAAACAGCCATCCATCTCCTTCCCCCAGAATCCATTTCCCCTCACACTTCCTAATGCCCCAAACCCGAAATGACGAGTTCGGCTCTCATTCCCCCCTCGATTTTCCGGGTCGCCCTGCCTGTGGCTACGCGGCCACCCGAGTTGACGGCTTTATTGGAGCGCTTTGATGGCTTTTTGTCGACGAGGCTAATTGGCTGCCACCGCCCCTGCCCCGTGTGGGCCGCTAAACTCAACTCGTCGCCTGTTTTTCGTTTCCGGTCTGGGTTTGGGTTGGGCTGAAGTTTGGCTTAGCTTAGCTTAGGCTTAGGCTTCCGGGTTCTAGACTTTTAGCGGGGGGGGCGCTCCAAACCTAGCCCAGTTTACGGCGGTTCACACATTTCTTTAGATGCAAAAACGTCGCAGGAATAAAAATCAGTGCCAGCCCTCGCTACGAATCCTTCCCCCCCCCGTTAACAGTCTAGTTCCAGCTTAGGTTTTGACTAGGCTTAGGTTTCCCAAGCATCTCTGCTAGCCATCCTGCCAAATTCCCGAAAACCCACGCACTCTGACCATAGTCCACCCGCTAACCCGCGCCACGAGGAGCGGATCTGAGGTCACAGCTCGTCCTCCAACTGCCCACACATCCTAGAGAGCGAGAGAGAGCGAGAGAGAGAGAGAGAGAGAGAGAGAGAGAGAGAGAGCGAGCAAGGCAACCCACCCATCTGGTGCTCAATTGAGCCGTTATCAGCGCTGGCGGCGCTTCCATTTCTAAAAAATGGGGGGCCCTCCCCCAAAAAAGGCGCTCCTCCTCGGCGAGTGAGAAGGACGAGACTTCGATTCGTTGTGACGCGCTTCCCCCCACTTCAACACAGCCTCAGCCTTCTTCGAATCTTTCTGCTGCTTCTGCTTCTCCCCTTGCTCTTCCTCCTCTTGCTCTTCCAGCCTTGTGTGTGTGTGCCATGGGGCCATGGCCTCCTCCTCCTCCCCGATTTCCAGATGCTGCCCGTCCAGGGGGCTTCTCACGTCATCGTCTTTAGATTCTGGAGTTTGACATCCCGCCCCTTTTCCCCCGTGGGCTTCGGGATCAGAATCTTTAATCAGTGCCTGGACTACATGGACCACTATGTACGCCTAGCTGCCTATTATTTGAAATTCTGGTGTTCGGCTCGTTCGCCTGGACAGATCCACGGTCTAGTACCGATTCAGTTTTGCCTTTACGATCCCTTTAAAACATTAAACTCACCTCGGACTCATAAACTCCTTTAAAGACACTATGAAGCTTAGGAATCAAGCCTACTTATCTACCAGATCTAGACAACTGTCATGCACCTTAAAAAAACATTTTAAAGTTTCAAAAATTCCTTCTTGCTCAATTTTTTTTAATTTCCACGGCTATATCTGAAAGTTAAAAGGCATCCTTCTGGCTTCACCGCCCCTTTAAAGGGAGCGGAAACTTTGGAAATGGGCTCTCTATTGGCTAGGACTTTGAAAACTACGCACTACATCAAGATACGTTTGAAAACGTCTCAAATTTTTTGCTGCTTTTGCCATTTTTGCCCGTGCTCACAGCGCAATGAAATTAGCTCGTGCTCGTCATTTTTTGAGACACGTAGCTGCCGAGACCTAACCGGTAGCAACGCTGGATTCCGGCTTTCTACCGCCCTGAAATAACCTAGCCGGATAGGGCCAAACCTCACATTTGACACCTTCACATCAGCACGCAACATTCCTAATGACGGCCCAACAACCAAATCGATCGCCCGGTCGGTTTAGGAGCGTCGCGTAGCCCTCCGGAGTCCGGTCCCCCGCGGATATTTGGACCTGATGAAACCTGATCGGGGGCCAGGATTGGCCCTAGGCGGGATGACGTCCCGTGGATATGGCTAGGAGGGGGGAGCCAGGAGGGAAGGCTTCTCCTCTCAAGGGCATACACATCCAGGATGGATGGACAAGGCCGAGGCCATGATGGAGCCTATCGGAATTCCGATTCTATGCCCTCGGCCCGCTTCGGAATGCCTTGACATTCGATTATCAGTGTCCCGGGGAACGTTTCGCTATCCAGGAGAGATGTTATTTTGAAACGGGGTGGCATTAGGCTTAGGAATGGGCTCAGACTTAGGCTTAGGTTAGGCTTAGGATTGGGCTTATGCTTATGCCTCCCCGCCAATGCAATTTCGCGTTTTGGTGCCTTTTGGCCGTTCTATCCGTTGTGTTAATGGGCCAGGGGGGTGACTAGTGGGGGAACGAGTTGTTAGGCTTGTTTATTTTTTCTGCCTCCCGGTTAATAAGGTATAGTGCTTTTTTATACCATTTTTAGTTGTTTTTTGTAACAAAGGTTATAATACCTTTTGAAAATCACAAAAATTGAGAAATTTGACGTTTAATCGTCATCTTTCGCGCATTTTTGGCCAAAAGTCGACGTTTTTTCGTAACTTTTGCTAATCTGTAGGGGCTTTTTATATCTAAAACACCGCAACATGCCATCAATTTTCCCAACTCATTCAGAACTCATTTTCTATCTTGTTTTTGCTCCCCGCCCCCCCCCCCCCATCCCCTCGGATTCATAAGAAGTTGAGAGGAGGTGGTTGGGCCAGAAGGGAGAGGGGGGGGGGGGGGGGGGGAGAGAGAGAGAGAGAGAGAGAGAGAGAGAGACAGAGTGATGAGCAAGAGCTGCAGAACGAGGGAGTAGAGGTCCCACCCTAATGAGCGTCGTGTCCCTTTTGGGGGCCCTCGCTAACAAAACACGGCGGTGCCCATCCCTTCCCCCAACACGGCCATCCACATAAACTGCCCGTCAGGAGCCCATCCGCAACGCACAACATTTCGGCTCTCCTCATTTTGGCATAATTTTTAGACTGAAGAACTGTGATTCCTTATTTTTTTCAAGCTACCTCTTCAACGCAAAAAAAATGCAAATTGCACTCAAAAACCGTAGCCGGCTCTCAATTCCCCGCCACCACCCCGCCCTCATCGCTCATTTTTTGCTGTTTGGTGTCCCGGGATCGGGTGCTGTGTATGTTTGTATGTGGCCATTAATCTCGATGCATCCCGAATATGGCCCAAAGAGTAATGGGAGCGGCGGGCTTTTCGAAAAAGGGCATTAAAGCCGGAGGGGGAGGGGGAGAGGGCATTCGTCTTTTCCGGTTTTGAGATGGAAATTGAGGATTGTCGAAAAATGTGCGGATTGGGGTAGGCTTGGGTTTAGGCGTAAGCTTATACTTCGTTTAGGCTTAAGCGTCGTTTAGGCTTAGGCATACGAACAGCCAGAGGATCAATCCCCACGCCGCTTCGCCTGACCCCAAACCCAAATGCTATCTTGTGTATGCAGGCGCCTCCCGTTGTTCCACTCCCTGCTTCGAGCCTCCAGTTCGGAGATGACGTCTTCTCGCTAGTTCCCCTAGTCACCCTCTGCCGCCTCTCTTCCGCTTCTCCCCCCATCCACACGGAAATCTCCGTCGGGCCAAGAAATCGAGTGAATCGAATTCGGGCCCTCCCGTGGCCCCAAGCTTTCCAGCTGGCCCGCCACGTGTCCTGGCTGCCGAATTCCGGGTGCACAGCAGTTTCCGGGTGGTGATCGGGTAGACCTTTAGGTTTATGCTTTATCTCAGGCGTAGGCTTAGGCTTAGGTTTAGGTTTACGCTTCCCTCTCCCTAAAAAATGAGCACCAATGTCCCAACCACCGGGCGTGTCCAAATATTTTGACCGCGCATCGCCCCCCTCGTCCTCGCACGGGCGCCGTTCGGAATTTATGAGCGGATTCGGGCTCGAAAAAAATGGGCGCTCCAGGGGGTGCACAGGGCTCGCAATTGGCCCCCAAAAAAATGAGGGTAACCGGAGATTTTTGGGTTTTTCGAGGGGGAGAAGGGTAGGTGGTGTTCTCTGCGGAGCCGCGCGAGGCCGTGTTGTTCCCAAGGGGGCATTTAGCAAATGGATATTCGGATATTCAATCTCTCTCTGTCTCACTCGCCCTCTCTCTCTCTCTCTCTCTGACTCTCTCTCAGACCGAACCCAGACCCCCATGGCATTTTGCTAGACGTCATTTTTCCAATTCCACTACATTCTACATTTTGAGGCAACAAGAAAGCCAAATCTATAAGCTTTTGCTACGAAAACCTCGTTTTGAATTACACTCTATTCCCCCACTAAATAATTAAAACCCGACCCGCAAAACTTCCGGAGAAAAATGTCGGCGTAACGTGCAATCGTTTACAGTCGCCTGGATGGTAGTGGGGCACGCGAAGGCCTAATGAATGGAGAGAGGGAGAGGAGAGAGAGAGAGAGAGAGAGAGAGAGAGAGAGGGAGAGAGAGGGAGGGAGGGATTCTGACGTTTCCGAGGAGTCGCAGGTCCCGTTCAAGCACAAAACATCATCATCATCAGCTCGAACGAAAGGCCAGCGGCCACCACGTGCACACGTGACCGAGCTCATCCATTTAAAGGGGTTTGGAACGCTTAGTCTTAGGCTTAGTTTTCTCATGCTATGACCAATCTAATTCGATGGATTTTTATTCGAATATTTTTCTCGCATCCTCTCTCTCTCTCTCTCTCTCTCTCTCTCTCTCTCTCTCTCTCTCTCTCTCCCTCCGCTCCTAATTCCTCTCGCTATCTCTCTTCAAAATTTAAACTTTAAAAACGTCTTCCAACCTTATTCAAAATAATTTTCGGATTTTATGGCCTACTTTTTGTCTTCCTGGTCCCTTTAGTTCCACCTAGAAAAGCTCGGGCACCATGAATTTCGCTTTTACCGAAAATTATTTTGGGGCTTTTACGCCCTTGATTTTGCCTCCCTGGTCCACTAAATTTCACTTAAAAAAATCCACCGCAAAAAGAAAAAAAGACGTCAACCGGATCACCTCGGACGTCAAGGCCTCAAAATTTCAACAGTCCCCCCCCCCCCCACCACCCTCATTTCACTTGCAAAAACGCCGAAATAGCCGCTGCGTAAGGTGGAAGGAGAAACGGAAAATGGAAAAGGAGAAACAAAGCCCTTCTTGTATCTGATTTCTGTTGTCTTTGCTGTCTGCCGGCCGGCCCAAAAAGTGCCGAAAGCGAAGGCATGAATAAGTGAACGGGGGCTCGGCCACTGGCCCCCACCACCAACACTTCCATTCCGCTCAATTTCGTCTTCGCCTTCTCGTTCGTCTACCTTTATCTGTCACTCACTAAATCGTGCCCTACCTACCGTACTCCCTTGTACAGTCCACTGGTGTATGGACAAGGACCAGCCCCATCATGTGTCCGAGCCGTTGCTGCCGAGTTGTGTGGGTGGCTCAGTGCTTTTTAGGGAATTATCTATTCCGTTTTGATGCTTTTTACGCTCGCATTTTTGGGGAAATTCCGAAATAAACCTTGCTAGCTTACCCATCGACATTTTTGGATTTTTAAAGCTCGCTGAGAGAGAGAGAGAGGGAGAGAGAGAGGGAGAAAGAGAGCGAGAGAGAGAGAGCGTGAGAGAGAGATCGCGAGTGAGACAGAGAGAGATTGAATATCCGAATATCCATTTTCATAACTCTCTACAGGCAAGCCAGCAAAGACCCTTGAGGAATTTCCCATTTTTCCAAGTACCATTATCCCTTTACTTCCGAATTACAAAGCTTTTCGGCTTGCCTATAACCACCCGGCTTCCTTATCAATTACCCTTGGTTATGCGGCATACTGTAGAAATCTCACCAATTCCCGGCAATTAACTCGACCCTGGCTTGTCGAAAATTCCCTTGGGCTTCTTTAAATTCCCCAATTTCAGGCGCTGTCGGCTCTGTGGGTGGGCGTGCCGGCTCGCTACCAGGTACCTTTTGGCTTATTATATTTTGTATAAAATTTAGGAGTCAACTTGTTGAGTTCTGGCCTGATTTGGCTTTTTTAAACGCGATTTCCAGGGGCTGGCGGATGCATCTAGAGACTACCAGCCTGGCCGCGAGTACATGGCCTTCCTGCAGAATCTCCCAACGCAACCCAATCGAGCCGGATCACAGCATTCGTTGTTGAGGTAAGGGTTCGGCTTACAAGGAGACGTTTTTGAGTGTCGTCGGGACTTTGGCACGGGACCAGCCTATCTTATGCAGAATTTACGCTAATTCCGAATATGTAACCGTTTGGTATCGCCATTTCTCGAAAGTTATGAAGATTTAACCTCAAAACAGCCCAAAATCTGCTACTTTCGATAGTCATAAAAGGCTTCGGAATAGTTTTTAGACAAAACTTGATAGTGCACCTTGTTCAGAAAAAAATTCTCTATAAAATAAGCTACTTAGCTCAAAAATGCTGGAATTTTGAAAATTTTTGTAAAATTAGGTGCCTCCCAATTTATCAAATTTTTCCAGCTTTTCAATGATTTTGGAAAATATGGCAAACTTTATAGAGAATTTTTTCTGAACGAAATGTGCTATCTGGTTTTGTCTAAAACCTATTTTTAAGCCTTTTATGACTATCGAAAGTAGCCGATTTTGGGCTGTTTTGAGGTTTAAATTGTTCATAACTTTCGAGAAATGGCTATTCCGCAAAAACGTTTAACATATTCAGAATCAGCGTAAAATTTTGCACAAGATAGGCTTGGTCCCGTGCCAAAGTCCCGACGACACTCAAAAACGTCTCCTTGTTAGTCTTACATAGATTACCTTCCTTTCCAGAAGCGACAAATCCGTCGACGACCTGTCGTCCCAAGGCGAAAGCTCCTCGGTGACGGCGTCGCGACGGAACGCCCTCAATCCGGATGACACCTGCGCCCTTCCGGATACCCGACGACATAAGAAGACGAGCTCAGGTGAGAGGCTGAGTTTTTTCTCTCTCTCTCTCTCGCTCACTCTCTCTCAGCGTCAAGCCTAACCCTGAAATTTAGCAGGCCGCTTCTTCGAGACGGCTGAACTCTCGGAGGCTGCTGCCAGCCACGAATGGTCTCGATCTCCACGACCGGCCAAATGTAGCCACTGCGACACCTTGTCAATCCTATTTACGCTGACGTGTACTCGATGCGGGCTCAATTGGCATAAGAATTGTTTCCCGAAAGTGAGTCTTTCTTACCTGTCGAGACCTAGTCAAGTTTCGGGCGATTGAGGTGTTTCCTAGTCCCTTTAAAGGGAACGTGCCAGGAAGAGGTTAAACGTTTATAGCTGTATTTAATAATCCTTAATACCGTAACTTTTTAGGTAACCCTCGCCTGTGGCCAAGGCTCTCGCTCTCCCACGGAGCGGCGGGTGTCCATGTTTGGTGTCAGCTTGCAGAAGCAGTTGGAAGAGCAGCACCGTGAGATTCCCCTAATCCTGGCAGATGTCGTTGACGAGATTCAGAGACGGGGGATCCAGATGAAGGTATCAGGATTGTAGCGACTTAAGGTGAAATATTTCCAGGGTCTGTACCGACTCTGCGGAGCTAAATCAAAGATTGAGGAGATATGCGAGTTGTTTGAAAGGTGGGTTTGGATTTGGGCTTGGGCTTTGTCTTAGGCCTACGTCTAGGCTTAGGTTAGGCTTAAGCTTAGGCTTAGGCTTAGACTTAGACCTATCCGTAGGTTGAAATCCCTCGTCATTACTTAACATTTCCAGACATACCGGCGATTCCCATATCCCCCTCGACGATGCTCACCCCGTCAATTTGACGAGCGTCGTCAAGTGGTATCTGCGCAAGTTGCCCGAGCCGCTGATGACGTTCGAGCTGCACCCAACTTGGATACGATTCGGACAGGTGATCGCTCTCTCTTTCGATCTCGCTCTCTCTCACTCTCTCACTCTCTCACGTTTAGCTATCTCACTCTCACTCTCTCTCACTCTCTCTCTCCCTCTCTCTACCATCCGAATTTCAGAAATTCTCCTCCGGCACCGTTGACGAGTCGCAAATTGCCGACCTTGCCGCCGCCATTGCCCAACTACCAAAGGCCAACTACGAGACGCTCCGATTCTTGACGTTACATTTGAACAGGGTATCCTGGTGAGTTATCTCTTCACGGTGCTGGCACTTTAAAACAGATTTTGGTTCTCGGACTTGAAGTTTTTAACAACCGGGATTTTCAGGTTTTCCTCGAGCAACTTGATGACGCCATCCAATCTTTCTACCGTAATCTCTCCATCGCTGTGCTGGCCGCAGTATTGTAAGGTAAAGAAAGGGAAACAAGAGAGAGAGAGAGAGAGAGAGAGAGAGAGAGAGAGACAGCCATATAACGCTCAATACAGTTCCAGATGAAGAGCCAGAGCCCGACCCAAGCCAACTCGGCGATCCAAGAAGCCCAGTATGCCTCCAAGGCCATTGAAATCCTAATCGCCAATGCACATGTAAAATTTCTGCTTAATTCTTTAATTTCATAATAATTTTAGTCTATCTTTAACGTGGATCGTCCAAAGGACCGAGCGGAATTTTTCATGAAATACCCACAGGAAGAGCCGAGCCTTGCCGAAGATGTGGTTGGGGATGAGGAGGAGGAAAAGGTGCGAGCTAGGATCCAAGCTTAGGTTTTGGCATTGGCTTATCACAGGCTTAGGCGTACTGGATCGATTAGCAGGCTAGCAGCGATTCCTAGAGAATTTGCAGAAAAAAAACCGATATGCCGATTTTCAGGAAGAAGAATGCGCCGAGCTCGACGACGACTCATTTTCCGTCCAACAACCCCCAACCCCAGACTTGCTTAAAAAGCGCCCGAAAGGTGCTTTTGATCGCGTAATCGATTAAACGGGATTTTTTTGCAGAAGAACTGCGCCCCACCCAGCGAGTGTGGGAGCGAGGAGAGCGCCGTCGAGTTGTTCCCCGCCCGAGAATCTGGCAGCAGGTAGGGCTGCAAGATTGAAATAATTTGAGTGCAACTTAACAATACCAAGACTAATTTCGGGTCGTTCTAAGCATTAAAGGGCCACTGACGGCTAACCGGGCGGTATTTCAGAGACCAAAAGGGAGAGCAGTACACGACATGCATAATCGTTGCCTCGTCTGCTCCACCTACTCCTCATCCATCGCAGCAGAGGCCGGTTCCGGTCCGGAAAAATGTGTAAGCTAATTTGGGCGGTTAGGTTTAGGCTTTAGGGAAGACTGAACTGCCATCGACTTGAGAAGCAGATAACCATTCGACCGCCGACAAGATAATTCCAAATAGTAATAAAATCAACGGGAGCGATAACGGAAAAAATGAGGCTTCAAAGTTGGAAAATGAGAAACAGCATCTTTGAGACCCTGTATCATCCCGGGAATGGAATTTAGGCTAAACTAATTAGTGCCCTTGTTCAACAAAGAGCTCTTTCAAATGAGCATATTAAACGGCGCCAAAAATTTCCGTAAAAAATTTTTGGAATGCGGCGTAAGGGTAAGCTAGCCAAAGACTTTTCGATAATTTGGCGTAAAGCGCAGGTAAGATAGCTCATTCGAAAGGGAATTTTCTGCTGATCAAGATGTACTGTTCCATTTTTGACAAACTAAATTCTTCGAATTCGCACAGAGCCTTAAAGACGGTTTCCGACGATTTTGCCAACTTTGATACAGAGAGCGTCCAATCCTAGTTTTGTTGCCGGAGGTTATTTGATCATCGCTGGTGCTTTTTAGGGGTCACAAGGTAAAGAAAAACTTATTCCCGAGTTTGGACATGCAAAAAGTAGCAACCGGTCAAAAAGCAAAAATAAAATTCGTGAGGGGATCCGAACCCTGGTATAGAGCCCAGAGACCCATGCGCAAACCACTAGGCCACGAGACCGATGGATGGGGTGCGCTGGGAGGGGCCCTTCTCGCGGCGGCGGATTTCAATGTAAAACTTAAAATTCTCATAACTTTTTAACGTTATGCGCTCCCGTTGATTTTATTACATATTTGGAATCCGCTTGTCACGCCGCGTCGAATGGTGTATCTGACTTCTCAAAGTTCGATGGCAAGTTCAGATACTTCCCTAGTTAGGCTTAGCCTTTTTTTGCCTAATCGGCCCTAGACAATTTGCTGATGCTCTTTCGGGTTGATACGTCAAGTTTTCCAATTCCGTTACACCAAAATCTGGCCGGAAATATCTTTGAAAGATTAGACTAATACGAAATGTGTGAAACTACCGACTTATCTCGTTACAAACTTAATCTTAAAGGGTCTGGAAGTCGACTGATAATCATAACCCTAATTGGAGTGTATTGACTGACAAAACTTTTGAAAAAATTTTTCTAAATTTTGAAAAACCTGTTTCAGGTCAGTAGGGTTGGAGAGGAGCAACTATGCCTGCGGTGAGGTGCAGCTCAACCTCTCCGAGGGCCAATATTTTGTGCCGGAGAACGGGCTTCAAAACACGGCGGAGCACAGCCCGGCGGGGAAGAGCACCAACTCTGTGTACGTTTTTCGTGCGGCTTCATTTTTCGGATTTCAGGCTTCCGGTTTCAAAATCAATCTGGCGTTTGGATTGCTTGAAGATCTATAATGTGTCCTTTTTCAGCTTCGACTATGGTAACAGCTCGGGCTACAGTACCTCTGAATGCTCGCGAGAGTCCGAGTCGCGCTCCTCCTCGCAGCGCGGGAGCAAGAAGTCCACGGAGCTGTTCCCGAAGGACAAGGGCGTCAGCTACGTCTGAACTTGATACTGATTTGCAACTTTCTATTAATACGTTAATTATATTCATTTTTAAAGGGGTCGGCAAGTTAAGGGAATTAAGAAGCTGGTTAATTTTTGGCAGGAAATCAGCATAAAAAGGTTAGGCTCAGGTTTAGGCTTAGGCTGGGATTAGCCTTCGGCTGAAGCTTCATTAGAACCTTGCCGATCCGTTTAAACCACCCTTCAACTCTTAAGAAGACCAAAAAGCCTACATTCCCTTATCCTAAATCCAGAAAACATACATCCACAAAAAACCACAAAGACAATTCCTATACCATACCACCATGCAATACGGGGAGAAGCGCCGCGCTTTTTATTTGCATATTTTTACAATTTTATTCATAACAATGTTTTGTGTTACAATACTTGTCATTTTTCCTTTTCCTGGCTAAGTTCCCCGTGTACTCCTTGCCGTCGTGCCGCCCCAATTTTTACAAAAAAAGCCCTGTTCCGTTGATGTCCCCGTTTACGAGTGTCCCCCGCCCTATTTTGCGCCCCTTCCATTAGTGTGCCATACGGTATATTTGTACATATTGTTCCGATGGACACCGCCCGGACCCGTGTGCGTCATTTGGAGCGCCGTGTAGCCCTCAGCCCCCCCGCGCGCGAAATTTCTATTCCTTGCCCCTGTTCCAAATGTGTTTTTCTGGATTCCGACAGAATTCTGCGTCCAATTAATAAATATATTCTTCAGAAAAGTCCGGAAAGGCAATATAGCAGAGATTCTTTAATTTTATTCACACTAATAGACACGAATCAATATCGAAATAATATTTTGGCACAATGCAATTTTGACGAAGATTTTTTGCTTGGGCATTACGGTACTGTACTGGAATCACGACTGATATGTCAGGGACGTCATTAGTAGTATACAAAATGTTCTTTCTGGCGCACGATTTGGGACACTTTTCATTTTCCCACTTTTTTATTTACTTTTTAAATTTCAAAGTAGTATGTTGAAAAAAAATCATCTACCTTTAATCAAAATCTTTAAAAATTCAAAATTGTCCAAAAACCAAAGTGTCCCAAATGTCCCAAGCGCAAATTGAAGCGCACCATTGGGACACTTTTTGGACACATTCATTTTCCCTGAAAATATCATCTACCAGTTCCAACTTTGTCCTTGAAATGACAACAAAGCGCCAGGCGGATTTGACTATATTTTTAATTTGAAGAAAAACGGTTACGGCTGAAGAAAGTTATAAGCCAGAATGAGATAATTTATGCAAAATTTTTCCAATTTTTCATTCCCAAAAACGCGCCGGTTGGGCTACACCTTCCCCTCAGTTCCCCAGGAGGTGATAAGCCTTGGCAAAAGCAAAACCATTTATGGAGACGCCTGGAATCGAACCAGGAACCCGTGAAACACCTGTGACAAGGGACAAAGTCCAACAGAGGGTGGGGGACGTTCATATAGGACGGATCTTCACTCGAGGAGTAAATAATCCCATACTAGTCAGGAACCCCAAACCTGACGGCCACCCGGTTTTGAGCGCTCGGGCCTTAACTTTTCTCTGTCTTCACAGGCGACCGCTCTACCACTGAGCTACGTCCCCAACCCGAACAGGCACTCCAAAAGGCCCTATAGCCCTGATAAGAGCAGTGACGCATACTGTATACGTATACGCCCATACCCTACTCCCAGTATTATTCTGAGCTAGTAAATGATGGAAAAGAGTTATTACAATCTAAATACTGGTTTCTGCGGAATCAATGAGTTACAAAGAAAAACAAAAGCACCAATTAAAGAAGTAAAAAGAATTTTTAAATCAACAAGATGTATATACTCTTCACAAACCAGCTCGGAAAAATTTTAAAACAGAAAGAGTATATGTTCACAAAACTGATGAACAGTGGCAATCCGATCTGGTTGAAATGTTACCATATGCCAAAGAGAATGAAAATTATAAATATCTGTTGACCATCATCGATTGTTTTAGCAAGTACGCCTGGGTCATACCCCTAAAGACCAAAACAGGACAAGAGACTGCTGATGCTCTCGACAAAATTTTCCAAAATAGAAAACCAGAAAAAATTCAAACAGATAATGGCAAAGAGTACTACAATACCAATGTCAACAAAATTTTAAAAACGTATAAAATTCAACATTTCTCCACCTATTCTGACAAAAAGGCTTCGATCGTTGAACGTTTCAATAGAACATTAAAAGATAAAATGTGGAAAATCTTTTCTCATCATGGCAATCACAACTGGGTAAATATCTTGCAAGACTTGGTTGACGGCTACAATAACCATTACCATCGAAGTATTAAAATGACACCCACCCAGGCTTCTGATCCCAAAAACCAATCACTAGTCCATAATAATCTTTATAGTAAACAAGTTGAATCTAAACATAAATTCGCTATAGGTGATCATGTAAGAATAACTAAATATAAAACAATTTTTGCTAAAGGATACTTACCAAATTGGAGTACTGAAAAATTTGTAGTCGTCAAAGTGCATCCAGGAGACCCACCAACATATCATCTTCAAGATTTAGCAGGAGAGGCAATCAAGGGCAAATTCTATGAACAAGAATTGGTAGCTTACAACGGTGAAGAGTACAAGATTGAAACCATTCTAAAGAAAAAGAAGAATCAGGTGTTTGTAAAGTGGTATGGATATCCTGAAAAATTCAATTCGTGGATTCCAGCAGACACCATTAGACACTTACAACCTTGACTCGGTTATCCTTTACTTCAACAATATTATCACTGAGTATAAGACAGAAACATTTCGATGCGGGTGGAACATTGGCCGAGAATGAAGCCTTTATCGTGACATCAGGTCTCGTCTGAATCAATCTATCATTTTGCTTGGATACATCAAATACTAATAGAGGGTAATAATAGTAATAAACATCTTCTTCCATAAAAATATAGTCCTTTACAGATTCATAGTAACTGTTCCTAAATTCTTTTGCAAAGTTGTATTGCTGAACAGCATTGAAACTAGCAAAATCAAACTTTAGGCATTCATAGGGTATCGTTCCGAGTTGAGTTCAACATAAATTTCCTGCAGACCAGCCGGATCAAATCGAGCAGCATTCATATAATTGTTTTCTCTTGCAACTTGGAAAGCAACAACCATATATTTTATTTTATCATACTTAGTCCCAAGCTTCCAAGTAAATTCTCGATTACCAACTGGAATGCTATAACTTTCAAATTGACGAGAGATGAAAGGCATTTGAATTAGATTATTACTTTCATGCAAATTCATCAGTTTGTTTTGCATCTCTAGGCTAGGAACAATCTTTGGGATGATCCATTGCAGTTTCCTGATTGTTAGTTTTGCTGTAAAATTAGCTGGATTTGTTGAAACGATACTATTCTTGTTTTCAGGGGTTCTGTAAAGTGATACCATATGCTTCCTACCATACACTATTTTTCCATAACACTCTGCAAATCCAAAGATGTGAGTAAGTGGGATACAAAATGTAATCCTTCCTCGTCTATTTGTCGTGTACTTATTAATCTTGTAATTGATAATCTCACCCGATTCCAGGATCCAACCAAACGAATTTTGTTTATTCATGGTTGAAGAATAGGTCAGCAGTCCCTTCATTAGACTTGCTCTTCCAGGATCAATCACATTTTCAACTTGCATTCCATCCATCGAATAAGTGGCTCTATCAAAAGAAACATTGGTGCGTTATTCGTCAGTGAAACCAAATCAGCAGCTACCAAAGGTTCATCATCAAGTTGAGTTAAACTAGCTTCTAGATAGAGATAACTCTTATGAAGCAAAAGATATTGGTCACAAGATTCTACAATAAAATTGATCTCTCCTTGTTGGTTTAAATTTGATCCTGCAGAAGGGAAGATATTTATGAGATTTTCCTTTTGAATTGAGGTGTCAGTGATAATTGGACTATCAACAGTGAGCATTCTATCAACAGCTTCCATTTATTAAATTTTCTTTTTAATAAATGCGTTTACTACTCTTAATCATCCTCCAAGTGAGCATGTCTGTGGCGAAACCGATAATATGTACAGATTCTGCACCAATACAATACTTTAGAATCCCAAAATTACCAAGATGCAAATATATTTTTAAAGAATCCACTAAAGTAGTCAAGTATGAAGTTTTCAAACCAAACATTATTGAATATGTTTCAAGTGGATATCTTTGCAAAAAGCTAGTAACAGAAGTCTCAATGCATACAGATCTTTCAGGCTATCAACATTTAGTAGAGAAAGAGATAAACAACAAAGCTATTACAGTAGGTGATTGTAAATCAATGGTACTCAATAAACGATGCGACTTTGGAACATTACTAGAACGAGATCACTCCTGGTTTACCGATAATAAGGTCACTGCTGACTATCCTAATCGATTCCTAAGTCTTGTCTCAGCTAGACGATATCAAAAAAGAAAACTGTGTAGTAATAGAAACCAAAATCTATTCTCATTTTAATCAAAGTCATCCATCAAATCTTTTGGTCCCAATGGACAAATGTAATTACACAGCTGGTAATTGTAAAATAAAGAGTAATGAAGTTTTGATATGGGATGTCAACAAGGACCAAAATTGTCAATACCTTTCAATTGGTAAATTTAATGGGTTTTACACAAATGGTCTCTGGATTAACAGTGAGAATCAGATTGCTTTGAGCTTTAAGGCTAACAAGACTACAACTGATTGTGGTAATGATCTCAAGATAAGTGCAGAGGGCTTTGCTGTTCGAAGAATCATCCTGGCATCAGAGACTAGCAAGACTAGAAAACCAGAACCAGAACTTCAAAGACGTCAAAGACAACAAGGTGGAGCTGAACGTCAAAAAGCGCAAGCTGAATTAGACCGTCGTAGACAACAGGAAGAACAGAAGAGACAACAGGAAGAACAGAAAAGACAACAGGAGGGACAAAAGAGACAACAAGCTGAACTCAAAAAGCAACAAGCTGAACGCAAGAAGCAGGCTGATTGGCAACGGCAACAACGACAACGGCAACAACGGCAACGGCAACAACGGCAACGGCAACAACGGCAACGGCAACAACGATTATGGATCAGCCCCAGGACCTTCTCGCAACGACACCACCGGATCAGCCCCAGGACCTTCTCGCAACGACACCACCGGATCAGCCCCAGGACCTTCTCGCAACGACACCACCGGATCAGCCCCAGGACCTTCTCGCCACGACAACGACGACGCCATCGACATTGGAATCGACATCGCCAACAACATGGACATCGACGAGATCGACAACGGCAACATGGACAACGACAACGACGGCGACGAGGATTGGGCTGCTATCATGAATGATGAATCGGAGATGGCGAAGATCAAGCACTACCGCATCACCAAGAAGCAGTTCGATAAGGTCCTGGACATGGAGTACGAGTACAAATTTGACGTCGAGCTCCAACAGATGTCTTTTTCAAAGTCGATGGATTGCGATCGTCCCCTTTCCCCCGAAATTCTCAAGCAGCTGATCGAGGGCGTGATGATCGAGACTGTCGGATTCACAAAAGATCTCGAGGGATTTGCCGCCCAGGTCACCTTGTTGTACACCGACAGTAAATGGTTTCTTTGGGGCTTCGCATTTTTGGATCCACAGGACGCGGTGTGCAACAGAGATCCGAGGTCATTCTTCCGAATTACCCCGACTGGAGAAAGGATTCACAACAAACCCCTCTCCTACTCCGCTACGGTAAAAATCACGGGCCACAAACTGCTTATGCAGTCGATGTACGCGTACCCGGACATCAACGACGTCGAAAATTGCGTCCTGTACCAGTTGACGGACGGTCCAACAGTTCCTGAAATTTGGTTCCATGGCTGCCCATTTGGCACATGCACCAGCACGGCCATGAAATCCCTTGCCGATCTCCAACTTCGAGCTGCACACGCATTGGGATTCATTTATCGGAACACCAAGATTCGTTCATGGCACTACGAAGAAGATGGCGTGACCAAGATCTATAACGCCACTCACCAAAAAATGGGTTTCATTGATCAGCACAGCGTGATTATGCAAAACTTTGTCCGAGCTGATAATATCAGGCTCATTGCACTAACGGCATATGGACTCTCAGATGGATTCAAATTCACGAAGGACGGCTGGAAATTGAAGCAGACTCGAAAAGGCCGAGAAACGTTAGCCGAATACGAGGGAAGCCCGGTTTACACGCTAGCTCTCATCTATTGCTTAGCTGGAAACGGTGCTATTCTCGACAAGGATTCGTACAGGACGATAAAGTTCTGGAACGGGATCTTCGATTCCTATCCCCAGTACTTTATGCCTAGATTCCCGGTTCCATATTGGGATGAAAACGGGCCCGAGCCGAGAATGGATGATGAGGAGAAGGCAAAATTGCTCTCTGTGAAGCCGTTCTGTCCTCATCAGCATGCCAAGAAGATGATGGCTGCTCCCAACTTGAAGTCGTCAACGGACTTTCCAATGGCCTCAACGAGAAGGCTGACAAAAAGCGAACTAAAGAAAAAACTGGTTGAGCCCCCGCGAAACCAATTTGATCCAGTTCAGTTTGATGACAGCAAGACCGACGAGGACATCGAGGACGAGGACATCGAGGACGAGGACGACGAGACCGGCAACGACACTGGCGACGACGAGGACATCGAGGGCGACGAGACCGGCAACCTGGACGACGACGAGACCGGCAACCTGGACGACGAGGACATCGAGGACGACGAGGACATCGACCCAGACGACATCACGGCCGAAGAAGAAAGAGAGATGGACGAGGAGATGGCGAAGAACCTTGCTGAATTGGAAAAAACAAAGGCGTCCATTCAAAAGGTAGAACTCGAGCTGGCGGAGAAGAAGAAACGGAACGAGGAGGCGAGAAAGGCTAAGCAGGCGGCGCTTGAGATCCGCAAGCAGAAGAAGGCCGAGTCGGACAGGATCAGAGAAGAAATGGTCCAAAAGAACCTGGAGATGCAAAAGCTGCTGCAGAAGCTCAAAAAGATGTGAGCTCGTCGAAAATAAGGTTTTATCCCCATTACCACCTGGAGGGAGTTTACCTTATAAATTTTTTGTTAACAACACCAACAAAAAAAAAAAAATATACATACTTTACCCTTTACAAAAAAAAATATTTTTATAATATATTATAGACTGCTCTTCTGAATGAAATAATGTTACGTTCTTTAAAGGGTCTTTCAGAAAACCAATTGATCAAACAATTACGATCATTATACTTGATTTGCTTATAAGATTTCGAGAACAGGTAGTTCTCATCAATTAATCTTTTAATTACATAAAGATCTATCATATTTCCAATTCAGCAAGGTTCTTCGCCATCTCCTCGTCCATCTCTCTTTCTTCTTCGGCCGTGATGTCGTCTGGGTCGATGTCCTCGTCGTCCTCGATGTCCTCGTCGTCCAGGTTGCCGGTCTCGTCGTCGTCCAGGTTGCCGGTCTCGTCGCCCTCGATGTCCTCGTCGTCGCCAGTGTCGTTGCCGGTCTCGTCGTCCTCGTCCTCGATGTCCTCGTCCTCGATGTCCTCGTCGGTCTTGCTGTCATCAAACTGAACTGGATCAAATTGGTTTCGCGGGGGCTCAACCAGTTTTTTCTTTAGTTCGCTTTTTGTCAGCCTTCTCGTTGAGGCCATTGGAAAGTCCGTTGACGACTTCAAGTTGGGAGCAGCCATCATCTTCTTGGCATGCTGATGAGGACAGAACGGCTTCACAGAGAGCAATTTTGCCTTCTCCTCATCATCCATTCTCGGCTCGGGCCCGTTTTCATCCCAATATGGAACCGGGAATCTAGGCATAAAGTACTGGGGATAGGAATCGAAGATCCCGTTCCAGAACTTTATCGTCCTGTACGAATCCTTGTCGAGAATAGCACCGTTTCCAGCTAAGCAATAGATGAGAGCTAGCGTGTAAACCGGGCTTCCCTCGTATTCGGCTAACGTTTCTCGGCCTTTTCGAGTCTGCTTCAATTTCCAGCCGTCCTTCGTGAATTTGAATCCATCTGAGAGTCCATATGCCGTTAGTGCAATGAGCCTGATATTATCAGCTCGGACAAAGTTTTGCATAATCACGCTGTGCTGATCAATGAAACCCATTTTTTGGTGAGTGGCGTTATAGATCTTGGTCACGCCATCTTCTTCGTAGTGCCATGAACGAATCTTGGTGTTCCGATAAATGAATCCCAATGCGTGTGCAGCTCGAAGTTGGAGATCGGCAAGGGATTTCATGGCCGTGCTGGTGCATGTGCCAAATGGGCAGCCATGGAACCAAATTTCAGGAACTGTTGGACCGTCCGTCAACTGGTACAGGACGCAATTTTCGACGTCGTTGATGTCCGGGTACGCGTACATCGACTGCATAAGCAGTTTGTGGCCCGTGATTTTTACCGTAGCGGAGTAGGAGAGGGGTTTGTTGTGAATCCTTTCTCCAGTCGGGGTAATTCGGAAGAATGACCTCGGATCTCTGTTGCACACCGCGTCCTGTGGATCCAAAAATGCGAAGCCCCAAAGAAACCATTTACTGTCGGTGTACAACAAGGTGACCTGGGCGGCAAATCCCTCGAGATCTTTTGTGAATCCGACAGTCTCGATCATCACGCCCTCGATCAGCTGCTTGAGAATTTCGGGGGAAAGGGGACGATCGCAATCCATCGACTTTGAAAAAGACATCTGTTGGAGCTCGACGTCAAATTTGTACTCGTACTCCATGTCCAGGACCTTATCGAACTGCTTCTTGGTGATGCGGTAGTGCTTGATCTTCGCCATCTCCGATTCATCATTCATGATAGCAGCCCAATCCTCGTCGCCGTCGTTGTCGTTGTCCATGTTGCCGTTGTCGATCTCGTCGATGTCCATGTTGTTGGCGATGTCGATTCCAATGTCGATGGCGTCGTCGTTGTCGTGGCGAGAAGGTCCTGGGGCTGATCCGGTGGTGTCGTTGCGAGAAGGTCCTGGGGCTGATCCGGTGGTGTCGTTGCGAGAAGGTCCTGGGGCTGATCCGGTGGTGTCGTTGCGAGAAGGTCCTGGGGCTGATCCATAATCGTTGTTGCCGTTGCCGTTGTTGCCGTTGCCGTTGTTGCCGTTGCCGTTGTTGCCGTTGTCGTTGTTGCCGTTGCCAATCAGCCTGCTTCTTGCGTTCAGCTTGTTGCTTTTTGAGTTCAGCTTGTTGTCTCTTTTGTCCCTCCTGTTGTCTTTTCTGTTCTTCCTGTTGTCTCTTCTGTTCTTCCTGTTGTCTACGACGGTCTAATTCAGCTTGCGCTTTTTGACGTTCAGCTCCACCTTGTTGTCTTTGACGTCTTTGAAGTTCTGGTTCTGGTTTTCTAGTCTTGCTAGTCTCTGATGCCAGGATGATTCTTCGAACAGCAAAGCCCTCTGCACTTATCTTGAGATCATTACCACAATCAGTTGTAGTCTTGTTAGCCTTAAAGCTCAAAGCAATCTGATTCTCACTGTTAATCCAGAGACCATTTGTGTAAAACCCATTAAATTTACCAATTGAAAGGTATTGACAATTTTGGTCCTTGTTGACATCCCATATCAAAACTTCATTACTCTTTATTTTACAATTACCAGCTGTGTAATTACATTTGTCCATTGGGACCAAAAGATTTGATGGATGACTTTGATTAAAATGAGAATAGATTTTGGTTTCTATTACTACACAGTTTTCTTTTTGATATCGTCTAGCTGAGACAAGACTTAGGAATCGATTAGGATAGTCAGCAGTGACCTTATTATCGGTAAACCAGGAGTGATCTCGTTCTAGTAATGTTCCAAAGTCGCATCGTTTATTGAGTACCATTGATTTACAATCACCTACTGTAATAGCTTTGTTGTTTATCTCTTTCTCTACTAAATGTTGATAGCCTGAAAGATCTGTATGCATTGAGACTTCTGTTACTAGCTTTTTGCAAAGATATCCACTTGAAACATATTCAATAATGTTTGGTTTGAAAACTTCATACTTGACTACTTTAGTGGATTCTTTAAAAATATATTTGCATCTTGGTAATTTTGGGATTCTAAAGTATTGTATTGGTGCAGAATCTGTACATATTATCGGTTTCGCCACAGACATGCTCACTTGGAGGATGATTAAGAGTAGTAAACGCATTTATTAAAAAGAAAATTTAATAAATGGAAGCTGTTGATAGAATGCTCACTGTTGATAGTCCAATTATCACTGACACCTCAATTCAAAAGGAAAATCTCATAAATATCTTCCCTTCTGCAGGATCAAATTTAAACCAACAAGGAGAGATCAATTTTATTGTAGAATCTTGTGACCAATATCTTTTGCTTCATAAGAGTTATCTCTATCTAGAAGCTAGTTTAACTCAACTTGATGATGAACCTTTGGTAGCTGCTGATTTGGTTTCACTGACGAATAACGCACCAATGTTTCTTTTTGATAGAGCCACTTATTCGATGGATGGAATGCAAGTTGAAAATGTGATTGATCCTGGAAGAGCAAGTCTAATGAAGGGACTGCTGACCTATTCTTCAACCATGAATAAACAAAATTCGTTTGGTTGGATCCTGGAATCGGGTGAGATTATCAATTACAAGATTAATAAGTACACGACAAATAGACGAGGAAGGATTACATTTTGTATCCCACTTACTCACATCTTTGGATTTGCAGAGTGTTATGGAAAAATAGTGTATGGTAGGAAGCATATGGTATCACTTTACAGAACCCCTGAAAACAAGAATAGTATCGTTTCAACAAATCCAGCTAATTTTACAGCAAAACTAACAATCAGGAAACTGCAATGGATCATCCCAAAGATTGTTCCTAGCCTAGAGATGCAAAACAAACTGATGAATTTGCATGAAAGTAATAATCTAATTCAAATGCCTTTCATCTCTCGTCAATTTGAAAGTTATAGCATTCCAGTTGGTAATCGAGAATTTACTTGGAAGCTTGGGACTAAGTATGATAAAATAAAATATATGGTTGTTGCTTTCCAAGTTGCAAGAGAAAACAATTATATGAATGCTGCTCGATTTGATCCGGCTGGTCTGCAGGAAATTTATGTTGAACTCAACTCGGAACGATACCCCTATGAATGCCTAAAGTTTGATTTTGCTAGTTTCAATGCTGTTCAGCAATACAACTTTGCAAAAGAATTTAGGAACAGTTACTATGAATCTGTAAAGGACTATATTTTTATGGAAGAAGATGTTTATTACTATTATTACCCTCTATTAGTATTTGATGTATCCAAGCAAAATGATAGATTGATTCAGACGAGACCTGATGTCACGATAAAGGCTTCATTCTCGGCCAATGTTCCACCCGCATCGAAATGTTTCTGTCTTATACTCAGTGATAATATTGTTGAAGTAAAGGATAACCGAGTCAAGGTTGTAAGTGTCTAATGGTGTCTGCTGGAATCCACGAATTGAATTTTTCAGGATATCCATACCACTTTACAAACACCTGATTCTTCTTTTTCTTTAGAATGGTTTCAATCTTGTACTCTTCACCGTTGTAAGCTACCAATTCTTGTTCATAGAATTTGCCCTTGATTGCCTCTCCTGCTAAATCTTGAAGATGATATGTTGGTGGGTCTCCTGGATGCACTTTGACGACTACAAATTTTTCAGTACTCCAATTTGGTAAGTATCCTTTAGCAAAAATTGTTTTATATTTAGTTATTCTTACATGATCACCTATAGCGAATTTATGTTTAGATTCAACTTGTTTACTATAAAGATTATTATGGACTAGTGATTGGTTTTTGGGATCAGAAGCCTGGGTGGGTGTCATTTTAATACTTCGATGGTAATGGTTATTGTAGCCGTCAACCAAGTCTTGCAAGATATTTACCCAGTTGTGATTGCCATGATGAGAAAAGATTTTCCACATTTTATCTTTTAATGTTCTATTGAAACGTTCAACGATCGAAGCCTTTTTGTCAGAATAGGTGGAGAAATGTTGAATTTTATACGTTTTTAAAATTTTGTTGACATTGGTATTGTAGTACTCTTTGCCATTATCTGTTTGAATTTTTTCTGGTTTTCTATTTTGGAAAATTTTGTCGAGAGCATCAGCAGTCTCTTGTCCTGTTTTGGTCTTTAGGGGTATGACCCAGGCGTACTTGCTAAAACAATCGATGATGGTCAACAGATATTTATAATTTTCATTCTCTTTGGCATATGGTAACATTTCAACCAGATCGGATTGCCACTGTTCATCAGTTTTGTGAACATATACTCTTTCTGTTTTAAAATTTTTCCGAGCTGGTTTGTGAAGAGTATATACATCTTGTTGATTTAAAAATTCTTTTACTTCTTTAATTGGTGCTTTTGTTTTTCTTTGTAACTCATTGATTCCGCAGAAACCAGTATTTAGATTGTAATAACTCTTTTCCATCATTTACTAGCTCAGAATAATACTGGGAGTAGGGTATGGGCGTATACGTATACAGTATGCGTCACTGCTCTTATCAGGGCTATAGGGCCTTTTGGAGTGCCTGTTCGGGTTGGGGACGTAGCTCAGTGGTAGAGCGGTCGCCTGTGAAGACAGAGAAAAGTTAAGGCCCGAGCGCTCAAAACCGGGTGGCCGTCAGGTTTGGGGTTCCTGACTAGTATGGGATTATTTACTCCTCGAGTGAAGATCCGTCCTATATGAACGTCCCCCACCCTCTGTTGGACTTTGTCCCTTGTCACAGGTGTTTCACGGGTTCCTGGTTCGATTCCAGGCGTCTCCATAAATGGTTTTGCTTTTGCCAAGGCTTATCACCTCCTGGGGAACTGAGGGGAAGGTGTAGCCCAACCGGCGCGTTTTTGGGAATGAAAAATTGGAAAAATTTTGCATAAATTATCTCATTCTGGCTTATAACTTTCTTCAGCTTTCTTTCTTTCCTTAAAAACTGGGCAAGAGTCGGCTAGCGTATTGTATGCCAATTTTCGACATTCTAACAATAATCACATTTCAACGGTGACTAGAATAGTTGCTGAAATTTTGGGGCAAAAATGCAAATGGAATCGAGTAATTTGCATAAAAAGAGAGGGGCAACTCGAGATTCATGGGTGGATGGCTGAGCGGAAGGGTGCGGGCCACTTTAACGGCCCTTTAAAACGCCGCAAAAAATGCCACAAATAACGGCAAACAAAGGTTCACTAATTTCCGTTCTAGCGTTGCTACGGTAAGTGTCGTTGGGTGTCGAGCGGAGCGTTCTGTAAATTTTAGGGTTTCGATATTTTCTTATTCTTCTCCAATTTTTCGGTATATTTTTTTGTGTAATGACTACCTAGCAGAATTTCGTGGGAATTCGGATTTTTCCACTTCGCAAACCCTTTAAAATCATAGGCTAGCTGGCGGAGGTCTTTTGGAGCTTTAAAGCCTTATAATAGCTTTAAAAGGCCGTTTGTGAGTCATCCGAACAAGGCTTGGCACAGTTTTTTCGACCCCGGTTTTACAGCAAACTTTCCATCATGACGAAACCCGGAAAAACTGTTTTGACTACGCGATATTCCTATGTTCCGGTCATTTTCGTGTTTTGCAATGTATTACAAAAATGATCAGCGCCTCAAATTAGGTATTGTCCCGAAGTTTCATGAAGTTCCGCCCAGTGAGCTCCGAGATAGCTTTTCGGGGTAGGCAACTTTAAGGGCCATTTAAGCCCCAAAATTAAACTTTTTTAAACTTTCAAAACTATGCAGCCCTACTAATTCGACCATGCTCTTTCACATGGCGTCGAAAAAACGGAGGCGAAAAAAAACTGTGCCAAGCCATAATGGGGACTGTTTGAGTGACCCGCGGACGGCCTTTTAAAATCTTATAAACCGTATAATAACCCCTCTTTGAACCTTATAATAGCTTTAAAATCTCTTTAAAATCGTAAGCTAGCTAGCAGAGGTTCTTGAGGGATCTAAAAAGACTGTTTTTTGCTCTAAAATTCTTTGAATTCCTCGTCAGCTATCCGAGATCCTTAAAAAAATCGTGTCTTTTCCTTTAATCCACATTTACAGTGTGACACGACATATAGGACAAGCATCTCCATAATTTCTATATTTACTCCTTTCGCATCGACAAATATACCGTAGACCACAGTACAACACAACGGCTACACGAAAATACCATTGACGGGTGGACTGGGGTACTGTAGGAAAAGTTGTGATGCATGCAACGGGAAATGCCGGGACATGATAAAAGACACTACTGGCACTTGGGCTTGGGCCTAGGCTTAGGCTTAGGCTTAGGCTTACTTTAGTCATTGAAATGAAGTTTTGAGCGAGAGGGTGCGATTACTGGGTTCTGGACACTTAGCGGTGGGGGCGCTCTTTAGAACCGAAATAATTAAGAAACACCATATGTTTACCTTTTTGTGTTGTTTTTAAGTATAAAAATTTTTTGGAGAATTCTCAACTTTTCCAAAAAAATTATTTTTGGTCAAAAATTTCAAATTTTTGATGGTTTTTGGCATCAAAAAATTAATAAAAATACTGAAAAAGACCCTACCCCCCCCCGCTAAAAGTCCAGAACCAAAGAACAGAACCAAAGCAATCCACAGAAAAAAACGAAACTGGCAAGATGGCAATTGTTTTTGACAAGAGTCTGCGGAATCGGGGGTGAAATGGGCAAGAGGGAGAGGATTTTTTGGCGAGAGGGCGAGAGACATAGAGATATGTAAAAAAAAGCTTTACGCAAAAATTCCGATCGACAACAAATGACAACACACGACGCTGGACAACGACGGTCTGCCACAGACGACGTAGAGGACGCCTGAATCGAGGGGGTACGGTAGGCTGCCTGCGGGTGCAAAATAATAAAAAGCAAAGCCGGACATATTTTTGATTTTGACATTTCCATTCTAATTTAATTTAATTAATTTTATGATAAAGCGACGATTTTAATTGTTATAATTGATTTTTTCCGGTTAAACTTTATACCTTATGTGCTGACGCCAACACCATTCCCGCCGGGACCCATCGGATAAGGCTTTGATTTGGCGTTCTTCAGTTGGACCTGAAAAGGGTTTTTTGAATTTATGTAGTTACGGTGGAGTTTCGTAACGTATGCGTCGTTGCGTTGCGTTGCGTCGGAGTACGCTATGATACGCATCCGCTAGGGCTACGGTACTTTACCGCAGACGAAGATAGGCAAGGTTCCTTTAGGTTACTGTACATTTACGCTATGATACGCCAAGTTCCGTTGCGTTCCGCTATGTAATCTCACCCACCTTCAACCGCTTGCTGCCAATCTGGAAGCCGTTCATGGCAGAAATCGCGTTAGCAGCGGAGAGGTGATTGTCAAACGAGACAAAACCTAGAAGTGTGATTGTATAGCTTTTGTAGTCAAAGCTTACCGAAACATTTGCTCAGATTCGTCTGTTTGTCGATGAACACCTTGGCGGAGATGATGGTCCCGAACGGGCTGAACGTCGTCACAAGATCGGCGTCGGTGAACTCCTAGAAAAAGCGTGATTAAAAATGGTTATCTCGAAGCTCCTACGTAACGCTACGGTTTGGCGGCGTACGATGGTGTACGCTCCAATATGCTACGTTACGCTACTAGGTCCAACGTTGTGGTACCGTACTTTTGTCCAAACCCAGACTGAAAATCTTTGCGCCCGCTGTACGTTACAATACGCTACGGTATGTTACGGTACAGTGTCTTACAGTACGCCAAACGATAAGGAAACACGCTAACATGACGCAAAGTTCAAATCTTACTTGCGGCAAATGGTAGATGAACAAATTGCTTCCATCGGGCCCCTTCGATTGGCCATTGCCCACAATCCCGGGATTCGCGCCAGGGGCTGCGGCGGCGAGTTGAGTCACTGAAAGAAATGCAAATTCCCGCGCTTACTGTAGTTTCAGAAATTTGCACAATTGGCTTTGTTTTTGAGTTGATAAAAAGTTCCCTCCTCCAGAAAAAGCCCGAAAATCTTTTGGTGAGGATAAAGCTGGTGCCCCGGTGCCCTGAACCACCCGAAGAAGCACAAATTAAAAAAAGCCTGGAGGACAGTGAGTTGAGCTTGAGCGAGAGTTTGAGGTCAAGGTTTAGACTGAGGCTTAAGTTTGCTTAGACGTGGATTTCGGCTTCCGCTTAGGTTTAGGATTAGTCCCAGCCTCACCTTGACTTCAAAACCACCTTAAAACCGCCTTCACCATCCCCTTAAAGGAAATTGGAAGCCTAGAATTTTCTCAACGGCTTCAAGTCGTTCATGGCCTTCCAAGCCCGAACTAAACCGCCCACCACCCCGCGAAAGTGAACCAAAAGCCCCGAAAAGAGTAGTGAAGCGTACGGGCTGCCTGTTGTTCAGCTGCTGCAAGTGCTGCTGCGTGATAGTATGCGGCATCGGGGGTGGTCATCTGCTGGTAGATCGACTGGGCGGGCATCCCGCTGAAGCCGAGCATCTGCGGTGGGAGGCAGGGAGGTGATGCTGCTTTTGGCGGCCCTGACAATGGATTGACCGTGTTTTGCGGTGGAGCTAGGGGTTACGGTACCGGGTGCGGGTTTTAGGAAACGAAATAAAGTCGAAAAAATCTAAATTTTCTTGATAAGTTAAATTTTCAAAGGAACATCGAGGAAGCCTATGCAATTAGAAAATTGACAAAATAAAAAATTCCGCATGCAAACCAAAAAAAATCAATTTTTAAGATCAAAGCAAGAAAAAAGCAAGCGGTAAGGGATTTATGTACTAATATGCATACGGTTTGAAAACGCAAAAAAAACGTCAAAACGGCATGCAAATCAGAAAAACGTTAATTTTGAGGGTTAGTAAATCAAAAAAGGCAAGCCGGAAGTGAATTGTACATGCTTTTCCGTATTAAAAATCATAAAATCTAAACTTTTAGGAAATTCGGCATTTTCATTGTTTATCATGCTTTGCTGGTCCATATTTCATAAAATGCATGCAAATTAGCATGCCACTTTCAAAACGCCGAAAAAACGTACCGTTCTGCGTTGCGGGGGCGCCGGCAAACGCCGCGTAGCCGTACATGTTTTTGCCCTCCATGGCGAGGGCCGGCTGCTGCTGCATTTGGAGTTGTTGCTGGAAGGCCATCTGCAAAAAACCGCGTTTAAAAAATACCAATACAATTTTTCGGCTAATCTAAAAAAAATTAAGAAACGAGAAAAAATATAGTTTTTCAAAGGCAATTTTTCGATTTTACGACATTTTGGGCCGAAATTTTTGGAGCTTGTAGCTTATCACTTTTTACATTTTGTGCATAAATTTCAGCGGTAATCGGTTTCGCCAATGCCGAGCTATTAAAATTTTCCTCACCTGCTGCACCATTTGGGGTTGTGGCTGGACGGCCGGCTGGAATTGGACGGGCAGCTGCTGGCCGAGAAGAGCTAAAAAGTGGCCTATGCAAGTTTAGTAAGTGAAGTCCAAAAAAACCAAGCCAGCCACCCGGAAAACCAAAAACCGAAGAAAGGGGGCGGTGATGCGTGTGTATGCGTGTTTTTGCTGCCAACCAAGCGGGTTTTGGGTGCATGCAGGAAAGAGAAGGATTACTGTAGAGAGGTTGCATTTGTCATTTTTGGACTTAAAGCATGAAAAATTTGTTTAATTGTCGTTAATTTTATTTTTCTTGAAAATCTGCGAGAGAAAAACTATCTTAAACACATTAAAAAAATTAAAGTGTAAAAAATTAAAAATGTTTCAATGAAATAATGATTAAAATTATCATTAAAACTCGAAAAATTATCAGAATAGGTCCAATTATAGCCCTTTAGCTAAGCCTAAGCCTAAGCCAAGCCTAACCTAAGCCTAAGTCTAAGCTAGCAAAAACCAGAACTCTATATATAGCAAAGCAAGACGCAAATGAGATGCAAAGATAGAGCAACAGCCACCACCACCACCACCAAAACTATCAGCACGATACACCGTGGACACACTACCGTACCCTGGGGGTCGACGAGCCCTGAGGGCTGTGAGGAGACCGGGGCCACGGGTTGGCCAGCCCCAGCCGAGTTCTCCGTCAGTCGCGACAGACCGGTCAGCACTGCAGGGTTTGCATTTTTTGGATTTTACGGTAGCCTTTCGTCGATTTTAAATCCTTAAGGGGTCTCTGCTCGCTAGCCCGGCCAACGCTACAGTAACCCGATCCCAAATCGGCTCTGCTAGTTCTCCCTTCGGCTTTAATTCATTTAGATGTCAAGTTCTATCCTCAAATTTTTATTTTTGGATGTTCCAGGATCATTTCTTTGCTTGCTTGCTCAAAGGTTCTCTGCTCGTTGGCCCTCTAACGCTACCAGAGATCCTTCTTTAACCGGGCTGACCTCTAAATGGTCTCTGCTAGCTGGCCCCTTGAGCTCGATTCCCCACAACTGATGCTTTTCCACTTCTCATCTCATTCAACCTGCTAGAAATTGCCAAAGAATCTCCGCTAGCTCGCCCAAAAAAACCTAGCTTACCATTTCCCAGCAAGCTGAGCACGTTTGGCTGCTGAGCAACACCAGGCTGGGGTTGGAGCAGGGCGGAGAGAGCTTGCAGCATCTGCAGCTGTTGTTGACCACCGGCGCCTCCGAGCTTAAAAAATTGGCTAAAATTTGAAAAATCCGGCTGTCACGCCCCCTTTCAAACCCCGGGAATTCGTACCTGGCCGAGGAGGTTTTGCTGTTGTTGCTGTTGAAGGGCTGGGGAGACGTCTCCGCCCTGTGGGGTCGGTCCTTTCGTTTTTCCGTCCTTGTCGCGGGTCGTGTCAGCAAATTTGCATACGATGGGGGAGTTGCAGCCCTGGAGATTCGGGGGTTTAAAGGGATCGGTAAGGCTGAGGGTGTCGGCTTAAGCTTAAGCCTAAACTCCTCAAAGTACAATCCAGAAACTTGCAACAACTTCAAGGCGGACGAACAGTCATACATGTAGAGGAAACGCTACGATAAAGTTCGGGACAATTCCGAGTAGCTAGACTAGCAACAAAATTTCTGGAGGGCAAAGCCGTGTGAGAGACAGAGAGCGGGAGAACGGAGAGAGGAAGAGAGAGAGAGAGAGAGAGAGAGAGAGAGAGGGGGAGAGAGAGAGAGAGAGAGCCGAGATTTCAAGCGTTGCTGACCTCCATGGTGAGCGAGTGGTGCATCTGTTTGATAGCATTCTGGGCACAACTCCGCGAGGACAGGGTGACAAAGGCACAACCTGCAAAAACGGGCGGACATGTTCACACTTCATCCAGATAGTGGGGGGTGGAGCATCGGCTTCTGGATACCTATTACCCCCAAAACAAGGGGGAGCAGGGGTTGGCTGGCGGAATTGGGCTTGGGCTTAGGCTTTGGCTTAGGCTTCAGCTAAGACTTCACCTCAATTCCGCCAGCATCCCTACACTCCCCCCATAAATTCCAAAACATGTAGAAACCCGCCACATTAAAAACGTAAAAATTTCCGGGTATATTTCCATAGAAAAACGTTACATTCAGGAATTGGACACGTTTGGCTTGGGCCAAAAGCACAGAAACTGGCTCGCTTTCTCGATCTACCGTATGCCAGAACAAAAACCGTGGGTAGGGGCGGCGTACCTTTGCTTCGGTTGTCGCCGTCCCGGAGTACGGTGCACTCCTCGATATGGCCGAACTGGGCGAACATCTCCTTGACGTCGTCTTCGTTTAGTTTTTTTGAGATCATGCCCACGAAGAGTTTGCGCTCTGGAATTGTGTGGGTTGCTTAGGCTTAGGTTTAGGCTTCGCCTTGAGCGTTTAGGTATCCCTCACCTCGCTTATAAGGTGCTTAATTGAATTACCTAGCGTGTACAGTTAAACCCTTAAGTCTGCCTTTTCAAGCCCACCCCCTAAAACCAAACGCACCATTCCGATTCTCGCTATCAGCCGGCTTCATCTGCACCGGATGGTGCATCCCGGGCATCACCTCGATGTTGTGCAGCGCCGCCTGCGCGTTGATGGCGTCCTTCCGGTGGTAGAACGTGACGAAGCAGCAGCCTGAACTCGATAAATAATCTCTGCTAGCTTGCCTTTACCTCAAAATCTTGTTTAAAAAATCTGTAAAAACCCCTGCTAGCCTTACCTTTGCTCATCTGCGTCTGCTTGTCCCGCAACACGTTCAGCGTGTGCACCCCGCCGTACTTCTCGAACACCTGCCGGCACTCCTGTTCACCCCAGGCGCGAGGGATCTGCAAAAATACATACGTGGCTAAAATCTCATATTTTTTACTATCTTCATTTTTACCTTATGTTTATAATTATTTTCAGACATTTTTTAGATTTTTTGCCACTCCCCGGATTTCAAATTACGCGGCTGGGAACCTGGCAGTTGACCACAAATCCCATCAAGGCCCGGGCGCCTCCAAAAATAATCCCATGATTGTGTGTGTGTGGTTCCCGGTTGGGGCGGCTCAATTTTCTCAGCAAGTTCGCCGCAGGAATTTACGTTGGTTCTGTGGGCACAATTCTGTATAGTGGAAAGGGCAAAAATACATCAGGAGGAAGCGAAAACGCGCAAGACAGCTTGGAAATAAGCTTAAGCATAGGCATGGGCTCAGGCTTAGGCTTAGGCTAAGGCTTAGGCTTGGACTTACACACTTCCTCCATTTCTAAATTGGATTACCCCTGTGTAAGCTATCGCCCCAAGGTGCCGAATTTCCCTATCGTGGCCCTGGCCCAAAACGAATTCCCGGAAATTTGGGCTTAACCCCTAGGGCCCAGTGTCGGGCCGGGTCCTTCGGGGAATTGGCCCAAGGGGTATTTTAGGGGTGGTTATGGATATGTGACAACCTGGGGGGGGGGGGGGGGGGGGTAACTACGGGGCTTGGGACAATTACATCCGGGGTGGGCGCGCGGCTTTTTCCGGTATATGGCGAGCCGGCTGGGGCAGGTAAGCCGCGTAAGAAAGCTCTTACATAAGCATAGGCTTAGGCTTAGGCTTAGGATTAGGCATAGTCATAAACTTAAGCTTGGTCTTAAGCTAATTTTCGGTCGCGATAAAGCCTGATAACTTTTTTTTATAATTTTTCAAGCTTGATGTCACGGTTTTTTACCAGGATGCATGGATTTTAAAACCCAGAGTCCTATTTTTCAATCTGTAAATTGCGCTTTTTTTTCTCCTTTCTCTGCCAACCTACGACCCGGGTCCAATCGCGGGAAAAGCCGGCCCCAGCACCCCCAGGGAATTTATACCTACAGATCAAGCGATAGTGGCTCAGGTTTTCGACTTTTAGTGTCCCAAAAGGCCCGGGGGCTCACCTGGCCAACAAACATCTTGATCGTGTCGGCGTCGGGCTGCTGGGCACTCGATGGGTCGCCCATTTTTGAAACTGAAAAAGAGGGGATGAACGGTTATTTGTGTTGCTGCATCGCGAGCTGGCGAAAATTAAAAAAGTTCAATAATATAGAGAATAAGAAAGATTGCGAGATATATAGAACGAGAGAGCGAGAGAGAGAGAGAGAGAGAGAGAACGCGCGCGTGCCCCATAGAACAAATTTGAGGTCGTTCGGCTTCGATTTGCCTCCCAAAGGGTCATTGGCATGATAAGGACATCTGCCTATAATGCATGCAAAATTTACAGATATGCGCATTAATGGGATAGAGTTTATATACAGATTTTCAAGCGTATCACATTCTTTTTATACACAGCAAATCGACATAAATAGCCTTACAATTAGGCTTAGGCTTGGGGGAAGCGTGGCTCAGGCTTAGATTTAGGCTTCCAAAACGTCAGACCTTCTCAGAAAACCCAACCGGCTGCGGCGGGTAGTTTGAAGGGCGCTGATGGGCATCTGGGGCACATTACACCAAGAGGCCAACCGAAGCGGGGAGACCCACAGATATATATTTTCGTGAGGGGGAGCAAGAGGTGGAGGGAAGATGAGAATGAGGGGAGGAGGAGGAGGAGGAGGAGGATAGCCCCAAACCACTGCCCCAGTCATCGATTTCCTATCGCAAAACGAGGCTCCCACACGATCGCCCGGTCAATCATCTCGCATATCATTTGAGGGGGTGTCTGAGGAGGTGTCAATGGTAGTGTAGTGTACAGACTAGGATAGTGGGGCTTTTCAGAGCTTCGATTGTACTTTAGACATGAGAGAGAGCGAGAGAGAGAGAGAGAGAGAGAGAGAGAGAGAGTGAGAGAGAGAGAGATCAACACCCAAAGCTCAAACCTAAAATCGGTGTACCCCAAACCCAGAATCGATAGCCCTCGGCTACAAAATGGCGCGTGGGAATGACACCCACTACGTCGTACACCTTTTTACGCCCCATTTGTAGGGCAGTTTAAGGGAGTATACGTTGCGGATAGACGGTAGCCGCGTTCCCACGAGATTCGGAAAGTGTTTTAGGATGTAAACGATGGCCGATGACCTTAAAGGACTCGGGAAGGCATAGAAAAATCTTATAAATAAAACCCATACTATGAGGTGCCGCTAAGATCTTTTGGGATACGGGGGTCTTGGAGGAAAGTGCGGCGAGTCAGCTGTTCTACACTGAAAGCTCTGATGGGCACTAGGGTCCTAGATTGTCAAGAGAGAGAGAGAGAGGAGAGAGAGAGAGAGAGAGAGAGAGAGACTGGAAATTTCGCTAGAGCAGCGAATTTCCCAGGTCACGGTGGGGGATAAATTGGGACCCGCCGGGCTTTTGAAAAGCCACCGCCACTCATAATTAGGACATGGGAACATCGTCGGGTGGCTTTGGAATTCTGGGGCGAAAACAGGCGCGCAACCTCCTTCTCTCTCTCTCTCTCTCTCTCTCTCTCTCTCTCTTCTTCTTTCTCTCTCTCTTCCTTACTCACAGCTTTCTTCAAAGCTCTACGCTAGATAACCACTTATTTCTAATGATTCAAACGTAAAAAATGCCGTAACCCCCGTCTGGTGGCGCGGGCCCAAATTTCGACGGCCTGCAAGAAGGGAAAAGCCGAAAAATGGGGCCCATTCGGGGGCCCGCGACTGCCCATATTCAATTGGGTAGATGGGGTATCGGGGGGCTGGGAGGACCGGAGGCCAATTGGCAGCCGATCTTCCGGAATTTTGGAAGGAAGAGGAGAGGAGGAATTGAGGGCGATTGATTGATTGATAGGTTGGGTGGTGTGATATGGAATTAGTGTAAAAAAATCTAGAACGCTACTGTCGTGATCCCTGATCGACATTTAAAGGGATTAGACGGCAAAGAATTTGACCGCTGGTTGTAGCTGGTTATAGCCTTCACGGACCCAAAAACCGAGGCAACAAGCTGACAAACTGCCGACCGGGTTCTGGAAGGTTTTCAGGCCGGTTGTGGGCGAGGATCGCGTGTCTACTAGCCGGCCCTACCCCCTCAAGAAATGATGACCGTTCATGGGCCCGGGGTAATGGCCCTAGGGCCCTTCCTCCCCGCCCTAGCCCCTCGTGCTCCTTTATAGCCTCAGGCAAGCCCGGATGGATGGAGGGATGGTAGTTATCTTCAAAAGTAGGTGGTTTAGGTTTAAGTTTAAGCTTCGGCTTAGGCTTAGGCTTAGGCTTAGGCTTAGGCTTAGGTTAGGCTTAGGTTGGGCTTAGACTTAGGCTTAGGCTCGGCTTAGGTTTAGGCTTAGGCTTAGACTTAGGCTTAGGCTCGGCTTAGGTTTAGGCTTAGGCTTAGACTTAGGCTTAGGCTCGGCTTAGGTTTAGGCTTAGGCTTAGACTTAGGCTTAGGCTCGGCTTAGGTTTAGGCTTAGGCTTAGACTTAGGCTTAGGCTCGGCTTAGGTTTAGGCTTAGGCTTAGACTTAGGCTTAGGCTCGGCTTAGGTTTAGGCTTAGGCTTAGACATAGGCTTAGGCTACGAGCAGGATCCCTTGGGGAATTCCTAACCCTAGGCAATCTAGCAGAGAATCTTTAGGAATTTCGAGCCAAATCAATAAAATTCAAACATTAATCGGACAGCGGCTAATCAGTCCGGTTGCCCGCCGCCCTAATCAACTATCATTTCGCCCCCGGAGGGCTATCGATTAATAAACGCTCTGTCCGTCTGTCTATCTGTCTTTGCGAAATGTATACGATTCGAGCCGGGGCAGACAGATAAGATCTGCTCCCAAGGCCAGCGTCGACGGCTCGCCGCTGCCTTCGAGTAGCCGAGCTTTTTTGGGCCGTTTTAAAGGGGTGGGTAACCTTGAGTTTTTATAAAAACTGGCGCAACAAGTTCTTCCCAGTCTGGCAGTGATAGGGTATTTAAAAGTAGCATATTGACAGTTTAATCACGACGTTTTACAACTTTTCGTGTTGTCTTTTGCTTGTTTTTCTTTAAGACATGAAATCACGAATTTCCTGGATTTTAAGATCTTTTAAAAGCCTAGTTAGCTCTTCGGCCCAAAACTGGTGGTTTGCCAAAAACCGGATCGCTAGCGGAACCGATTTCTAAGGGTGACTAATGACGGCTGTAACGTTGGAACGAATAAATTACTCAAAGTGACTCACCTGAGAAGATCGAGAGAGAGAGAGAGAGAGAGAGAGAGAGAGAGAGAGAATGAGAGAGAACGAGAGAGAGCGAGATAGTGCGAGAGAGATCAAGAAAATTCATGAGTCACCTAATAAAAACCATAAAAACAGGAAAATCCATTCTCATCCGCTTCATCAAGCCTATCATATTATCAACGCAGCATCGTCTATCAAATTGGAAATTTGGCAACCTGCCAGCCCGATTCCACACGACACCACCTTTACGGCTGCTCCCAAAAAAGGACTGGTGTTGGGTGTGTCAGAGATGATTAGCATATAGAACGAACAACAATTGGTGGGCGGCTGGAAAAGATACCAGATGGGGAGAATTTGCTCCAAAAAATAACACGTTTTGTAAAAGATAGATTGTTAGAAAATCAAGCCAAGCATAAGCGTAGGACTAATAAAATCGCCAAAAAAAACACTAGAAAAGCTACTATTTACGAGCAGCTACTAAAAACGCTGGCAGGGTCAATGAGGCGGGCGCCAGCCGGCATGGTGTGCAATGCCTGAGGGCATGCAAAACCAGTTCCGCCCCACTGACGCAAGAGAGAGAGAGAGAGAGAGAGAGAGAGAGAGAGAGAGAGAGAGGACTCGAGACGGTATTGTCAGACTCGCTTCTTCTGAGACTCTCGGGCTCTCCCATTAGATCTAGCGAGCCGAGGTGTTGGTGGTTTTTATGGGATTTTTTGGGTGGTCTGTCAGATATGGTGAGAAGGGTGAATGTGTAATAATTTTTGGGGTGATGTGGGAAGAGAGAGAGTGAGAGAGAGTTATACCGAGAGAGAGAGAAAACGGGAGCAACAGAAAAACGAAAAATTCAACCTTTTTGCACCTTCCAGGCACCGTAACAGCTGGAAATTCGCGTAATTACGCAACCTAAAGACAAATTACCCACTACCCAATATTCAGTGCAGGGCAATTGGCATTTCCGCGGGGTGGGAGGTAGAGGTTGAGCCGTGGGGATCAGAGGTATGGGAAAGGCCGGCCGCCCATATGGGGAATTGGGCGCTTAGTGGCTGTGTAGAGGAATGGCGGGGGATTCAACCCTTCGACCCCAGGGGTTTACCCCTCAACCCCCCACCACCACCCCAGATTCGAGGCTTAACTCTCAGCCTCCTCCAAGAGGGTCAAGGAGGACGAGGAAAGGGGGATGGACGACAACGAAAACACTCGTCAATTCGTCAATTTTAAAGGGGGTTATGCTAAATGGCTCGAAAATCAGAATATCGGATTTTCTGAATCTCGAAATTTCAATGAAGAAGCTGGAGAGAGAGAGACCAGAGAGAGAGAGAGAGAGAGAGAGAGAGAGAGAGAGAGAGAGAGAGAGAGGGGGGGAGAGAGAGAGAGAGAGAGAGAGAGAGAGAGAGAGAGAGAGAGAGAGAGAGAGAGAGAGGGAGAGAGGGAGACCTAAGGCTTCTGCCTATGTCTATGCCTCCAAAAACCCAAAAATCCGAGAATATATTTTTGACAATCTATCCGATTTCCGTGTGAACGTCCGGAATTTCCGGAAAAGAGCAGGAAAACAAACGCTGAGACCTTTAAATTTTTATAATAATCCAATCCTGAAGGAGGAAAAGCAGCAAAATTTTAAAGACCCGAAATCAGGAGAAACAGCTTAGCACCGCTAACAAAGCATAATTCTAAGCTATAAAATTACAATTCCCGTAATGGAATTGCTAAAAGTGTGTCAAATCTTGCAAAACAATCGAGTTTAAATGTAGTAAAAAAAGTAGTAAAAAGTTTTCAATAAATGCCATGAGCGTCCGGGATAAACATGTCGTAATCGAATGGCTCTAAAGCTCCTAAAGTCGTACAAATTCGAGTGCAAAATATCGTACAAAGTCGGGGAATCTGTCTGAAAC